GCCAGCATATACTATGCAGTAGAAATAAGCTTTCTCATGGTTTGCCCCCTCAATATTAACATCTGTGACATTTTATTAATTGTCGCTTGTTGAAGAATTTTCAAGGACTTCTAATTTTTTGTTACATTGTACCCCCCCCCCCCTTTTCCATTCCAAATTGAAATTGCTTGAAAGAAATGCTTTGATGATAGATTTACACAAAAATATAATGTATTTTATGAGTTTGAGGGGTGAAGAATAAAATAAGTCCCTGTAGAATGTTAGTGTCTGATTATGTTATGAAAAATATGTTGGAGATATACTCAATTCTTCAGTCATTCAATTTACTGAATTCAGAATTTCACTTAGAAGTGAATAAATAAATTTTAAAAAAAATCCGAAGGAAGCGAAAGCAAAGTATAAATGTGACTTTTCCACTGCGAATTTTGGAAGATCTTGCTGACTTTAGGAAATAACGGATCAAAGAATCTAAATTGCAATGTTATTGAACAGAATCAGTTTTCACTTGTGTCACTTGTTATTTCATATTTCTATGTATTCACACAACCTGCTTACGCGGGTTATGTATTTTTTTCTGCAATAGCTGCGACATTAATTCCCGTACTAACAACCAAAGAAAGCATTTTATTGTTTAAAACAGGTCTAAGGGAACCTCTATTTTCAGAGGATAGTTTTTATCTTCCGAAATCAGAGGATAGCAGTTCCAACATCTATCAGATGTTTCAAAACTAAGAGTAGTGAACTCTTAACCAAACAGAGAGTCTAACACTTGTTTCTATTTAAATGAATAGTGAACCGTTATTCAGTTTCTATTGCTGATTTCAGAACCAAATGGAAAAAAATGTATAATATATGATTTAATACATGTATGATTATTAGATGAAAATTACAATGGTATTACAATGCATGCGCGAATCTAGGGGGGGGGGGGGTCGAGGGGGGTCTCGACCCCCCCGCCCCCCCCCCTTGGAATTTGCAAAGTTACTAAAAGTATATACAGAAGCAAATACAAATGACTTTGGACCCCCCTCCCCCCTCCCCCTAGAAAACGTGGACCCGACTATCACCACCACGAAGTAGGTGTTGTTCAGGTGTTGGAAATCGATTTTAAATTTTTTTGTTGCTTGTCAAGAAATTTTCTGAATAAGGAATAGGGAAAGTAATTCAGGTGTGTGTGTGCGTGTGTGTGTGTGTGTGTGTGTGTGTGTGTGTGTGTGTGTGTGTGAGGGTGTGTGTGTGTGTGTGAGGGTGTGTGTAAGGGTGTGTGTGTGCTTTGCTTGTCAAGAAATTTTCGGGTTGGAATTTTTTTTTGACTGAGGTGGAACCCCCCCCCCTCCCCCTGGAAAAATTCCTGGATCCCTGCCTGCAATGTTTGTATACCGGTAATTATTTGTCAGTCATTTATCAGTTTGCTGTTTTACAGCAATTACCTATATGTTTGGTTTATTAATATGCTCTGTGATCTGCAAAATAAATATAAAAATTTGTTAAACAGTAATTATATATGAATAAGGAACAGTTAAGAAATGTAAATAAAAATCTTTTGCAGTTTATTTATTCATTTACATGTATTCATTAAAAAAATCCTCAAACACTGTAGTTTATTTTTTGATTATTACTTCATTTTATTTTTATTCATTTTCCATACTTTTAATCCAACTACTCATTTAATAGGGCAGTGAATTTCATATAATGTCCCTCCCCCTTTACTGTCAAATTAAATTTTAAGTATAAGCTGGACCTGAATTGAAAAAAAAAATTGCAACAGAAATTTGATATTTTTTTTATTTTTCTGTTTTGTATTAATTCTAAAAATAGAAGAGAAAGGAAAATGGGAGTAATATGGAGTGAAAAAAGTGTCAACTTTGAAAATAAATTGTAAAAGATTTAGACATAGAATCTAAAATCACCAGATGCAATCAATAGATTAATGTTTGAACTTTTATTTACATGTACTTTGGTATATGCACTTTTCCACTTAAGGTAGGCACAAGTACATGTTTGAAAATTACACGTGTTATCCACTAAATTTGGAGGATAAGTTACCCCACAGTGAATTGAGCGGATTTCCTTATCTGGTAAAAATTCAGCTACATTTAGTTGAATTTCGACAGTCATCAGAATTTAATGACGTCCTCCTAGACCTGATTAAGATAACAGTGTTGTACTGCTGTGTGATAATGAACATTTATAAATCTTTATTAACCTCATAATAATTATTTAAGAAGAAAAGAATATAATATGTTTCTAATTTCCTGTAATGAAACACATTTTTTGTTTTGTATTTTTAAGATTTCACTGATAAACTGCAATGGATTGCCCAATGCTTTTTTTTTTTTTTAAATCTCAGCAGATTTATTTTTATGAGAATAATCAAGAAGTTACAATTAATCACACCTTTCATTTCGTCTATATTTAGATAATGTTATTCTGTAAAGATTTTATAACAATGACCAGTGATTTTTAAGGCTCTTCTTAAATTCTTAGATTGTGGAACTGCAGGGTTTTTTTAAGGGGCCTGAAGGCTATACATATTTTGTTTCTGGACTGAAACTAATAAGGGTCTGACTTGTTTTGTAATGTGTATAAGATAAAGGGTACTTTTGATTTACATCAGTGTTTTTTAATACTTTTAGTGTTTGTATGCAATAGGATATGTTAAGTATTTTCCTATATACATTGTCTAAATTTTTTAATCTATGCATTTATTTTTTAGGAAGTGGTGATGATCGTGGAATGCTTCCACGATCATCACCACTTCCTAAAAAATAAATGCATAGATTAAAAAAATTAGAAAATGTATATAGGAAAATACTTATTTACACTTGTAGCTGGTGTATATATGTTCCTCTTCTGGCGACTATCAAACAGAGAAGTTCCAGGGAGATAGTACCAACTAATGAACCATAAAACAGTTATGCAAGATAGTGATTTGTGAAATCCAATGTCATTTGTCATACTTAGATGTCTACTTAATAGATTATTTCTTGTGGTACACAGGGTCGTTTAAGTACAGTGATGTAATTATTTTTTGATACTCAGACATTTAAGCATCTATATTGATATAAAAAAAAACAAGGGAGGGATGCATGATTGCATCTCATGGTTTTGAAAAATTGAGGCTTTCCTCAAGTTTTCTGAATTTTATTTAAGTAATGAATTTTGATGATATGCATTTAATTTTTAATTTTGATTGTTTAGTTTTGAGGCAAGCTAGATTTCAAGTATGGATTTTTATATATACATGTATATTTAATCCAGATAAAAATTCTTTTGGAAAGCACATCATTATTTTGTCTGGCAATTTTAGTGACAAGAAAAAAAGGTTGTGTACTAATATTTAGTCCTAGGAATAGTTTTTTAAAGAGCAGTGTATTGTCAGGTAAATAATAACTGCATTATGTGCTGTATGAATGACCTTAAAAAACTGTCATTATAGAAAAACAATTCTTTTCTTCAATAATAACACTATGCAATAAAATTTATAATTTTTATTATTTGTTGACTTTTGCATTGAGAACTGGAGTTGCCAGAAGAATATTATATGCATACTCAATCATATACATGCAAAAAACGACTTCTTTTATGAAGTGTAAGCATATGTAAGCATACTTTGAATGTTTGACAAGAAGAAGCTTTATGGAAGAGATGACTGGATGAAAGGGAACTCCATCCATGTTTTATTGCCAAAAGTTTTGCCGAGCCAAGGTTTGAAGTGCCTTTGTCAGAAGAATCACCTGTAGAAGAACAGGTCATTAGTAAACGGAAGGGGGGGGGGGGGGTGGTGGTGGTGGTGGAAGGCACACCCGATAGTTTTGCCCGCATAAAATATGCAGTAGAAATAAGCTTATTTTACGGTTTGCCCCCTCAATATTAACATCTGTTACATTTTATTGTCGCTTGTTGAAGAATTTTCAAGGACTTCTAATTTTTTTGTTCCATTGTAACCCCCCCCCCCTTTTCCATTCCAAATTGAAATTGCTTGAAAGAAATGCTTTGATGATAGATTTACGCAAAAATATAATGTATAAAGCCAAAGAATAAAATAAGTCTCTGTAGAACGTCAGTGTCTGATTATGTTATGAAAAAATATGTTGGAGATATACTCAGTTCTTCAGTCATTCAATTTACTGAATTCAGAATTTCACTTTGAAGTGAAGAAATAAATAAATAAAAAATCCAAAGGAAGCGAAAGCAAAGCATAAATGTGACTTTTCCACTGCGAATTTTGAAAGATTTAGCTGACTTTAGGAAATAACGTGTTATTTGGAAATCTGCTTTGATTCTCTCACACATAATCTCAACATAAGGATGAAAGGATCTAAATTGCAATGTTATTGAACAGAATAAATTTTCACTTGTAAACTTGTTATTTCATATTTCTATGTATTATTTTAATTGCAAGGCATATTGTTATATTTAAGAAGAGGAATAACTTGTTTCCAATCCTTTTTGATTCATTCAATGAAATATGTCCCAAACAAAAACAAAGGAACTAATTTTAATTAGATTGTACAAAAGATAGTATTTATAGGAAACTTTATGGGAAATAATATTGTGTCATTTTCCCTAGCTTTAAATAGGATGCGTGTATATTTATTTTATTTTCCTCCTATAATTGTTTCTAATTACCATATGTACATAGTACAATTTGCAACATTCACATTTCAGTGACTGGTAAGTCTTATGAGTCTGGAAGTTCTTCCAGAAGTATAACTATTTTCAGAATTGCAACTCGTAAGTATAACTTTGCATTTAAATAATTATTGCATAATGCACGAAAATGGATTGCGGATGTTGGACTACATTCGGACACTTTATTTAGACCAAAAACCACTCAGCATTCTTTAAAAAATCGGATGCGCTTAAGAGGAAAATATTTGTAATGAATCATAGCAAGTGTAATATGTAAAGAAAACATTGAAACTTACCCGGAATAATACAAATGAAGAATGTAGCATAAAATGGAAAAGAGGTCTTGGACATAAATTACTGAGAAACATGAAGTGGACGGTGTTGCATACATCATTTAAAATTAAGACGACCAGTTTGTTGTTTACAAATATTTTACTAAATTTTAATAGTCCTTCGTGTGTCAAAGCCAAAGGTGTTGTATGTCGACAATACGAGTAAGTATTAATTTTTTCTACTCTATTTCTACAAATTTTATTTAAAATAAATTTTATTCTCAAGCGTTGGCCTAACCAACAAGAGGCCCATGGGGCACATAGCTAATCTGAGTATTTCGGACACTGGGGATGTTTTATAATATATATATATATATATATATATATATATATATATATATATATATATATATATATATATATATATATATATGATTGCGCCCATGACAAAAGGGCCTTATGGCAATTTTGCTAAAACAGAGAAATAACGTCATAAAGATATGACGTTGCAGACGGTGAGCGTCGACGCAGATTTTTTTTTATCCACGTGTTTTACGTTTTGATACGTCTAGCTCACTTTCGTGGTTGTTCTCAACATTGAAATAATTATTTATTTTCATTTATATCTTTAATTCAGTTCTTTATCTTCTAGTCCACTGATATAAATTAAAACATTTAGAATTTTATTCGAGACCCGTTTCTTTACTTCAAAGCTTTATAATACGTCTCTGATCTGTGCTATGCATTTCCTATACATGTATAGAAGCTTCAGACAAGGTGATTTTCTGGATAATTGAATATGGATGAACGAATGCGATTTTGATATATAGACAAATTGAAGTTATTTGTTAGACACGGGTATATTATCAAAATATTGCAGAGGAAATCGTTTTCCTGTATAAGATCCGCCCCACCATTCTCAACACATCGATCATGTAAACATTGAAACATTGGTACATCGCGCATAAATTTTTGTTGTAAAATGCTTTAATTGCCAAAAACTGATCACACTTCTTCCAACAGAAAAGAAAAGTATTCTTGTAAGTTTTCACAAATGTAGCAAATGTAGGAACGAATGACAGACGTGATATTATTTTTAAGAACTATAAATAAAATTAAGAGAGGTAACTCTGGCAAGCGAGATACTAGAGAGGTACCAGAGAGGGACTTTCTTTTTTTTAAACACCATTCAAAATCAACATTCTCATACAAATTTGCTCCCGTAGTATAAAAAATATTTTTAAAAATCTTACTTATTATCAGTAAAAAAAAGTTTTAATTGTAAGTATTATATTTATATTTTCTTTAAAAGTATTTTTGAAAGCTTATGGAACTAGCAGCTGTCAAAGTGAAAGAGAAAAAAATATATAGAATAAGAAATAGATACTACATTGAACCAGACTTTCATTTATTTTTTTAAATCCGTTACATGTGCATCTATTTATTTTAACATGAAATTATTTTTTTAAATAACTTGAATTTTTTTTCAGTAATAATGATCAATAAATTTAAATAAAATAAAATAAAATTTAAAAAAAATTTGTCGTCTTATTTTTGTTGTTGCCACTTCCGATGTAAGTACTTGAAAACAAACAAAAACTACCGAATGAAATAAAATTGTTCTAATTGTTCTAGCTTAAAAAAAAAGTTTACATGTATGTATACCTGATGTGTGTGAGAGAGAGGGAGAGAGAAAGAAAGAGAGAGATGTTACATTAAATCGAGTTTATTAATACAATGTGAAATGTGAAACTTTAATGAAAAGGCGAATTTTCAAAAACACAACAATATCGTATTATGAAAAGAAATCTCTATTTCTTTTTTTTTCTTTTGCTGTCTATTTATTTTCAGTAACTCGAAAATATAACATTTTGGTACTTGTGTTGTGCATAAAAAAGTTCAAAGGTTTTATTAGCTTTATCTGCAGTTTTTAGTCACAAATGTCAAATATATGTAATCCTTGTCATTCATAGAATCTCAGCATTTCTATTATCAATCTAAAACTCGTTTTTTTTTTTTTTATTGAATTAATAATCTCAGTTATCGGTTTAGTATGACATTGCTTAACTTGCTGTTGAATTATGTAAACGGGCTGATTTTGTTATTTGGATTTATTGATTCAGAAATAAATCTTGTTAAGATCAAATTGTATTTAAACATGCATTGTACAAATTAAATTAAATGCTAAAAATATACTGCACACAAGACTAAGAATATGTTTGCAAGTTTTTTTATTTTTGTGGCAGTGCAGGAGACCGGGGAAGAGGGCCAGGGTCATTTTATATTACCGGGACCTAATTACTTTACAGTGTATCTGTAAAGCTTTACAAGAATAAACATATCCAAATCTCTGGCATGAGGCAAGAATGGAATTTTTATATTGTAAAACTTCATACACAATAACATTTGAAAACAATAACATTAGAATTTCATACGATAAAGAAGCCGCGAGAAATGGGGGGGGGGGGGGATTCTACACACACCATCACATAACAATATTTACATGTACCTAAATGTTTGCCACATCGTAAAAATTTGTCATTTAAAAACTCAGCCAGTCAAGGAATATTATGAATCAGTCGCATTTAACTGACTGGATATATAAAACTTAATTTTTACACATCCCCCCCCAGCCGAAAAAATTCTATTAATTAATCTGCATATCATTGATTCATAACGACAACATATATATAATTATTTATGATTTATTTCTTAGAAAAATCTATTTGTTATTAATTTTAAAAAATGACATACTGATTTCATTCAAAGTTCGGATAAAATTTGTTGAAATGACAATAAAATTCCCGATATTTATTAATACCCATGTTCTTCTAAAACCATTTAATTTTACAAAATCAAACAAAATCGTTATTCTAGGACGAAATTTTTCTCATGATTAACTAGATTTGATAGCAGTTAAGTTTCCAGTTCCAGGCATGTGGAGCTCATGATCGCTGTTTGTTTTGAAAATGACCCTGCTCATATACATGTACGTAAGGAGAGAGTTCAAAGTGCAAAAATAAATTGAGGAATTATATGTCAATATTATTTCAAACCTAACCAAAAGACGTATCTGGAGGTTATGGGGTTGGTGGTGGGAAGGCATCCCCCCCCTGCACACCTTAAATGTAGGAATATTTTAAAAATACGACAACCCTCGTATGCTATTAAACTCATGTTAACTACAAGTATTGCATGTTTCTGTCATTTAACTTTTAACCCCCCACCCCCACCCACACACACACAATCCAACCACTTGTCATCCTGGATCTGTTCCTTTCATTTTAAATGCATGTGAATTATAATTCATCCATTTGTTTATAATTTATCAACCTGCTTACTTAAAATTAATTATTCAAAAATGTTCCTTGCTGTGACTGAAAAAATGTGTATCTTTCAATTTAAAAAAAGAAGTTTTATTACCACATGCGGACAGAAGTCCTTCTGATTTTTTGTTTGAATTTTTTTTTATCGAATATTGCTTAACATGAAGTGTATCAACTTAATGTCCTTAAATTGTTGTACAGCGTATACGGTAACTCACTACATTTCACAAATTTTCTGTCTAATTATAATTAGAAAACAAAAACAAAAAACAACAAATTTTCACTACCCAGCAGCATCTATTTTATTGTTGTTCCCGAGAATTTCTTTGAAATATTTTTTAACTTCACATTTTGAAAGAGATATCGTTTATACTGGATTCAACCCCCCCCCCCCCCCCCAAAAAAAAAAAAAAAAAAAAAATTGACATCTTGTCCTATCGAGAGCCATGCTTAAAATGAGATGATTTTCGAATGAATTCTACAGGTTTCTCAAACGATTATTACACGAGATAAATAATTTGGTTTTGAGAGAATAAATTGATATTGAACAGAAGCCGCTTGCTTCTCGGGTTTTCCTGACATTCCAGCATAGTGAAATGTAAAACAAACAAACGAACAAACACGCATAATTCTATACACAACTGCATGATGGATAATAGTTAATACAACTATTCATTATCATATTATACAATTATTAAAAGAGACAATGACTCAAAAATGTTTCTGGAAATGCTCAATAACATACATTTATTACCGTAGTAACATTACAATGCAAAGTGAAAGTCATGTTCACTCTGAAAACTTTTGACGTTGGTGCGAAAGTAACATGACGTCACTGTTTACCTGTTAAAGTATCATTGATATAAATGAAGAAAAAACCTACTTAGAGTTGACGTAGGGTCATAAAAATTCAGATTTGACAACTTCTAACCTTGCTCTATTAATATCCATGAAAAACTTAAAATGTGTAAAAATTGCCATAAGGGCCCTTTTCCCATGGGCGCAATCATATATATATATATATATATAAGGATACACACTTCCGCCCCAGCCCGGGGTTGAACTCTCGACCTATGGAATCTGTCTCCTAGCAGTAGAGGGACAGCGCGCTAGACCGCTCGGCTATCTAGTCAAGTCAAAAAACTTGCTTTCGATGCCGATGGAATTCTCGTGGCGCTGCTCTACACTACACGGTCATTGAGAATGGAAGTGAGAAACAGTTATTTGGATATTAGTTTTTTATTAGAGGATCGTTACCAATACACGTTGTAATGAAATTAATATTTATTTATAAAGCACATTTTACAACGACTCTTAAACTAACATAACTGCCCTAAGTGAAGAAATATTATTATAGAAAGCACAAAGAAATTCACTTTTATAAGGATACCCACTTCCGCCCCAGCCCGGTCAAAAAACTTGCTTACGAATGTAGCTGTCCGTTTACTGCTAGGAGACAGATTCCGTAGGTCGAGAGTTCAACCCCGGGCTGGGGCGGAAGTGGGTATCCTTATAAAAGTGAAATTCTTTGTGCTTTCTATATTAATATGTTAGTTTAAGAGTTGTTGTAAAATGTGATATATATATATATATATATATATATATATATATATATATATATATAAAATCATGGCTTTGCTTTTAAAAAAATTCTCCTAACTATTCATATGTAAAAGTTTGATCTCCTATTGTAAACCTTAACCTACCTCCCGGAGATCATGATTTGATTAAACTTGAATCTACACTGCTTGAGGATTCTTTAATATTTTAAGATCATATTAATAAAAAACCAGTCAGTCATTTTGCTAATACTTTTTTAAAATTTATTTTGGTTGCAGTGGCGTTGATCGATGCTGTACCAATTACAGACAAGAGCGAGGAATCTGCATTCGTGAGTGAATTTAAATTACTAAAGCCAATTTAAGCTCCTTTAAGCGAACCTTTTTGAAATATGTATACCGTTTGTCAAGTCGGAGGGGGGTTGCATGGGGGTGGGGTCAAAAATCCAAATGGAGGGGGGAGCAGGCGCCCCTTCCATTTTTTTCTGAGAATTTTTTCCGCTGTTAATTTTGTATAGAAAGTTTCATTCAACACCCCCTTCAATTTATTGCTGTATGATCGATCCCTTAATTCCACGTTATTGTACATAGTTTTTTTTCCTCTCGAAAAAAGCCAATTCTGATACCCGTTTTACATGTAACTGAACTTGTCTTCGATTGTCAATAGAAATACATTTTTAAAAAGAATCTGATTTCAGCAAAATATGTTTTAACATTGCAGACCACATGTAATTCTTATACGTGATACGAGATACAGTGGAGACTAGTCCGAAATATCTGATGTTTTCCAGGCTTATTTTACGATTTGATATTTTACGTGCCAGGAAAACGTCAGAACCGGCGCCATTACGAAAGCTGGAAATTTCGCCTTCTCCAACCGGAGTTGATTTTCGATACTTGCGAACCGAATTAAATGCAGAACTCACAATTTATCAATAGCACAATGCTTCTAGTACTCACCAATATCGATGAAAAGAAAATACTACTTCACATTTCGATACAGGACTTGGAAGATTTTAAAATGCACGAAATGAAAACAAATCTCGACAGTCAGATAAAATGTTTTCATTGGATTGTATATTTTATAAACGAACCATAAAAACAATGTTGATGAGTACTAAAAGTATTGTACTATTGATAAGTTGTGAGTTTGACATTTAATTCGGTTTGCAAGTATCGAAAATCAACCCGAGAATGCCGCCTCCGGTTGGAGGCGGCGAATTCCCAGATTTAGTAATGACGTTTTCCTGGCACGTAAAATATCAAAATCGTGAAAAAAGCCTGGAAAACGTAAGATATTTCAGACTAAGCATGGCCGTAGGAACCGGGGGGGGGGGCACGGGGGGCCGTGCCCTCCAATAATTTTGCCGATATATAGATTACAATAGAAAACAGAGCTACTATATTCTTGTGCCCTCTCAATAAAAACGTCTGATAAACCCCCCCTTTTTTTTTTGCTTGTCAAGGAATTTTTGGTTGATAGTGCCCCCCCCCCCCAAACTGAAATTGCTTCCTACGGGTTTGCTAAGTGGAGACGTACAACTACCATTCAATTAAACATTATATGGTGACATCCTTTTTTTATTATTTCATAGATTTCCATGTTTTATCATACGTTTTTAAGAAAGAGAAAAGGGTGACCAGTTATAAGGTTGGATCAATAATATTTCAGATACGCCTTAAAAACATATTTGAATATAAAATAACCTTCATCCGTAGATTATAGAAATCTGTCCGGTTATCAAAATATCCATTAAACAAAATATCTCTTTCATATATACATGTACATATATAACTACCTTGCAAAATCCAATGTTAATTAATGTGTGCTAATTAGCATTTCCTCTCAGGATATAAATATCACTGGCACCACACATATGGAACCAATTCCCACCCTCCCATTCCAGTAAAAGAAAAATCGGGTTTCCAGTCAAATCACATAATATGATCTAATTTTCATTTTAAATTTTACCAATCGAAACAAACTACTCTGGTATTATAAAATTTATAATACAATACCTGTCATGTGAGTTTTTAACAAGTATTTGAAAACATAACTTGACGTGGAGTGAATAGCCTGATAAAATTAGGTTTCCCTCACTGTTTTCACAATGGGGAAAAGGAGAAGGGATACAAAGCTTCAGATGACTTTGGTGAATATACATGTAGCTATCAGTTTACACTTTTTTTCATATTTAAAAGTGTATAATTATAAAAATGTAATAAATAAAGGTATAAACAATGAATTTGTTTTTCATTTATAACAGCTTGTATAGGATCCTTTGGTATCAACTGCTCTGGTGGTATTTGTGTGGAAGGATTCTATGGGTTCGGCTGTAGAGAGAAATGCAACTGCACCATACACGAAGTATGCGACCACAGAATAGGGTGTCGAAAGAAAGTCTCTGAACTTTCTAGCATTACAACAGCTGGTAAGTTGGAATTACGAGTAAAAGTATTCGTTAAATTGTTCCATTTTTGTATATTAAATGTTAAACTATTATAACTTGACTATAAATTATATTTTGTTCATTATCTTTTTTTTCGATTTGACAAAAGAAGATGATTTTGATAATATTTCGATTGTAATATCTGGTAGCGGCGACCTCGTGTATGGCTGTGATTATCACTCTAGGTGGAGTCATCCTCTGTCTCTTTATATTGTTGCTGGCCGTTGTCTTAAGAAGGTATTTTTGAATGAAAATTGTTTTCCACAGAGAAATTTAGAAGTTGTTGGAAAAAAAAGAATATTAAAGTTAAGGTTCTATTTTCTGTAGTAAAATATTGCTCAACTGCTTGAGTATCCATAGAACTCATCAAAGGGAGAATACCAGTAGTACCGACACAAGATCGCAGAATTATGAATCAGCTGATAATCAGACATATGTTGAGTGTGACCCAGAAAGTGTGACTGAGGTTAGATACCCAGAAAATCAATTCGAATACTCTCATCACAGTGAGGTAACTTCCGGGTCGTATGTGTCACCAGTGTTGCCGCATCGTGTATTGGTTCAGATGTCTTTAAAAGAAGAGTTTGAAAAGAACAGAAAGAGGACTGGAATTCTACCTTTAATTTCACAGAGAAATCTTTTATTGCATAACACAAGCCACGAAAGTGGTTATCTCTCTGCTATTCAAAGACAACAAAACTGTAAGAATGGAGAAGAGTCTCATTATGCAGATGTTGAAGAACCATAATTTATGCACCGTTCTTTAAAAATCTGTTTAGATGAATATAAAAACGTGAAGAATTGTGACCCCTTTCTCAGAACCATTGTTTCAGCAAACCTAGTCTATACAGTAGAAGATTGCTTTCATTTTATTTGTCTGTGAAGAGAGTCTTTGAAGAAAATATGATATTTTTCTCTTTGTCTTCATTCACACACTTCGATTTGTCAATTTTAACAGATTGAAAAGTATATTGACGATAATGACAACAATGACAAAGAAGTGAATAGTCGGAATTGCGCTCATTTTCCTTGAAATGTGACGTTTCTCAATGAAATATACATACATGTATTTTGGAATTTGGATTGCGAAATTAGATATTTCCCGGTATTTACACAACATTTCTAAGTTTAGCTCACAGTATATTGAAAAGAAAAATGTTTTACAGTCGATGTATTTTTTAATGCTTTGCTATGCCTTGTAAATTTACATGTAATATGTAAGAGAAAGAAGAAAATACTGACTTCAAAATATATTGATTGATACTTATTTTTACTCAGTACAAAAAGAGGGTGCTCAATGACTAAGGAAGTGAAGGGATTGAGCAACATAAGTTATATAACACATTATCAATTATTAATTGCGCTAATTTTAAAACGTTAATGGGATTTTTTGTTCATTTTTCCACATTTATGTACACTCTTTTCTAGTGATACGTGTACCTCCTCGTTAGATACACATTGTATTGGGTACAACGTGGCAGAATAATTATAAAATGTTCAAATGATAAAATTTACAAGAGTATAAATCATACCGGATATATTTATTTTCATCAGTAATTTACAACAATTATAAGGATATCATTGATTTCGAAATTTGAATCTGAGTTTTTGGAAAATACATTTCGATGTTTTAAAGCATGTTTACAAGTGTGGTGTAGGGAACACGATTCTTATCAGGAGGAGACAAAGTTTAAACCTGTATAAAACCACAGAAAAAAAAAATCAAACGTGAATCTTATGGGGATGAATCAACACCTTGTATTTCCTAAAGATTTCACAGATTTCCTACTTTAATTTCAAACTGATGAATCCAAACTTTTTCAATTATAAACAAACTCTACATTGCATTGATATTGACCAATTATAATAAAATCCTGAACGTAAGGCGCAAGTGAGCTTTTCTGATCGCGTCCGGGGCACGTCTGTCTGTCGTCTGTCGTGTGTCATGTGTTGCCTGTAAACGTTTCACATTTTCGACTTCTTCTCCAGAACCACTGGACAAATTTCAACCAAACTTGCCACAAACATTCTTGGGCAAAGGGTATTAAAGTTTTCACAAAATGTGCCATGCTCTCAGAATTCAGAGCACGGTGTATACATGTCCCATTCAATTTTAATGGTACTGTAATCTGGAAAACACATTACGCTGATCTAGATTCTAAAGGATGACTGCACTTAAGGACACACGAAATTTGCGACAAAATAAACTTTCAAAACAAGCATATTTCTTTTCATTGTAAGAATGGTCAACATCCAATCTACAACTTTATGTAATTACGTTTAATAAAAGTGTGTATTTACGAATTTCGAATCTGTTTTCAAAGGCAGGGGTCATCACAATTTCTTGAATCTCCGTTCGATAATGAGGACGCCCACTTTTTTACTGACTTTATACATAGTCAGCGCATGTTTGTCTATTGTTCTACGTTTAACAGTAGTTGTATATTTGCATAAATAATAATGTGTCAAAAGGAGATTAATAGACAAACATGCGCTCATGGTTAAAAAGAGAAAAAACGGCTTCTTCTTACATCCGCTCTCTGTGTTGTAACCAAGGATTGTGACATGTTGAATATTATAATTCACCACGTGATTTCTTACCCAAGATAACTTTGTGAATACTAAATTCCGTCACGTGACTTGTAAGGTAGCATGTTTTGTGCTAACTAGGACATTGTGTTCGAACACGTCAAGTCATCTGGCATTGATATAAAATCTGCTTTAATTACATTGACGTGCTCATATTGTTAATTTCGTTTTGAAGCTTTTGTCAGAAGTGTATTTGTGCCATACAGAATGGAGAGGGAGATTGGAAAGAGTGATCACGTTCTTTTTTCCAAACATGTCATTGTTATTTATCAAGTCTAATTTTAGAGCCATTCTTACAATGTTAGCTCCACCTCTCATGCATATCTAATGTTCAATCAAGGGCAGGTAAGTGTAAAGTCACTATATTTGGAAAGCAGTAAGGACAAAAAACATTGAATCATTTTATTGTATCACAATCTACAATCATTTTAAGATTTAAATTTGGTTCCAAATTGACAGGATTCTTTCATAAACATACAAAAGTGAAATAAAGTTTAGATATAAAAGCAACAGAAGCAACCGAAAAAGACCCAAAAATAGGCGTTAAGTGCAGTCATCCTTTCGTATTGATTTGTTGAAAACTAAGACAGTTATAACCATTTAAATTTTCAGCCAATCAAATTGCAGCACACGTTCTTGCAAATGTTTTCAAGAATTTTTGTTTATATCATTTTGTAGAACCTCATAATATCATAATATACATGTATATCTGTATTTTAATGTCATAGTATTCTCAAAAAGACAAGCAAGTTACTGCAATTTTTATCCCAGCAAATCAGAGCAAAGCACACTTTTATGCGCATGTTTTCATGTTAATTCAACCATATCATCTTATCTACACTATAATATATGTATATATTTCATAAAAATTATGACACATAAAGTCATTTCAATTATATTAGTTATTTTACTCAAAGCACGCACTCGCATGCATGAATGTGCGTGCAAAATGACCTTCGTTCCGCACAACTACACAACATGCCTGTTAACCATACTCGGAAGAGTAGTTTCTGAGAATATTCGCAGACAAAAAAGTACCGGATTTGCATTTAATTTTTTTTTTCAAAAAGATGAAATGTTTCTCGCATAGATGTTTTCCTTTCTCTAATGACAATTTAAAAATATTATGCTTATTTTATGACGTGAACGATTTGTATTACTCTGCGACTGTAAACGCATCGACTGGATACAACTGGCACTTAAAGTGTCCATTCTTCGTCACTATAAGCATTTCCCCATGCTGCTCCAATTTAGCAATTATTGTAAAATTTAACTGCTGATATCAGCAGCCACTTTTGTAAGATGCTGTATATGAGACTTGAGGTTTTAAATACAGAAATTAGAATTTTGACTTAACGTTCCCTTTCAAAATAGATGTATTTAAATTGAAAATTGATTTGAAGAATTCCGTTCTTTGAAAGGGAACTGTGAGTATAATTTTATTTTACGGCAAGGTCGTAACTACCATCGAGGCAAGTGAGGCAAATGTGATGGAAATGATTTTTTTTTTTTTTTTTAGAGTTTTGTGAAAATTGAAAATAGCTTTACTTTGATCTGAAATTATTTGCGTCTTTGTACTGAATCCATTATAATACTTTCAACTTTACTTTCAATTTCCGAAAATCGATCATCTCACCAGAGCCTAGTTACGGCCTTGTATGGAATGTGAAATAAAGTCAAGTTCTAAAATAAAGTGGACATACATGTTAAATCGGACATCACCCAAGTTAAGAATAATGAGTAAAATACAAAAGTAGTTTATTTTGCTGTCAAAAGTTAAGAAAGTAAGTATTCTCTTCTCTCCGGTAGGTTTCGGAGTTTTCTTGTTTAACAGATTACAAGAGAGTTGTCGATGAATGTTTCCGCAATAATTCTTACATACAGCATCATGTCAATAAAAGATAGCAAACAGACTATTAAATATCAATTATTTTATTCTCTGTAACATTGTTTTTTTGGGATTATTTTGACTAGTATTTATTGTATTATTTCATATATCCTTTTCAGTCATTTATAATATATTCATTATAATATGTATAACTATTAAGTATGTATAACTATATCACTATATAATATATTCATTGTTTTTATTGATACCAAATATTTTCTACATGGTTGTATCTTGTATTTAGATTGATAATGTGGCGTTGTGAAAAGAATTTTCAAGACTAGACATTGACAAGGTTTTGAAATTGTCTTTCTAGATGCAGAAGCGAAAATAACGATGAATACTTATTTAGGTATATATTAAGTAACTGAAGTATAAATCAGATTTATGAATTCATTCATATAGATATTGCTTTTAAATCACCTGTCAAAAAAAGTACAGTAATTTCTTGTCATAAAAAAACTGACTTGAGAAGTGGAAGTATCTTTGGTGGCCATCCTGGTAGCTTGGTTCTCTTATCGTTGATTTCTACTTATAAAACACTGTATGTTCTTAAGAGGCATGGAGTAAAGGTTTTCATCGTATATATGAAAATAACAATGTAATACATAAGTTACTTAAAATAAACTGAATAATGAATCATTTTGATATGTTCTCTGAGTAATATACATCACACGTAAGCACATATTTTATATGTGTAATGATCTATCTCTAAAATGAAGACAAATAATGCATGATATGCAGTGTACTTCAAAGCAAACGTTTTGTCATAGGATCATCTTGCTTTCAACTTTAATATGCAGTAATTTGAATAAATATAAACTTCGTGTATTAAGTGATAATAGACAAAGAAATCTGATGATGCGATAAGTAGATACTTACACTTCAAAAACTTCGTTTGTTTTGTATTTTATCTAGAATAAGTAAAGTTATTATGATTATGAATCAGGAGAAGTGACGCGGAAAACAAAATAGAAAGTGCAGAAAATGTGTTTATTACATGTTAGATAATGATGAGAATTCGTCTATCAAACAAATTGGTAATCTCCATTTTATGAAGAAATAAAACGATATCTCTCAACCTGTTGAATTTGTCACAGTTTTTTTTTGCATTATAAAGCTATTTTCATTGAGATTCAGGGGTGAAGAATAAAATATGTCCCCAAGAACGCCATATTTCGTTAAAATTTCAAAGTAGGATATACATGTACTCAATATTTCTGAAGTCATTCAATTCAGATTATCACTTAAAATACGAATTATATTAAAATGAAAAAAAAAAAACCCATGAATATATAAATATTCCTTCCCAAAGATTTTAGAAAGATCTTCTATTATGAGTAAGGACTGCATTGTTTTTGAAACTTCAAGATACACAAGATGGTATTTTTAGGGATCTTTGTGGGATTTAATCTAATATATTCTTCCTAGCTTTAATTAAATGTGATTTATCACATTTATGTAATTCAGACCCGTAGGAATCAATTTTAGTTTGGGGTTCGGCAAAACTAGATATTTTCAGTTGGGGGAGGGGGCACTACAAAACGAAATTCCTTGACAAAAAAGGGTAGTCAAACATAATTTATTCCGTAAAGTAGCTTTGTTTTCTATAGTATACTATATATATATAATTTAATTGTACTTCATTGTATGGGTTGAAAAGGAGGAAATAGTACTTTTTTTTTACACACATATATATATATTGCATTGCATAATGCATGAAAATATGTTGCGAATGTAAGACTTTATAGTTGATCACTTCATTTAGATCAGAATCCACCTATCATTCTTCTTAACTAAACTGATGAGCTTTAGTGTATGGAGGCTAAATTTTGTCAGCCTGTTCCTTAACCGGAATATACATGAGTAATAAAAAAAAAAGGGATCATTATCTCATTACATGTTCAACATTTCATGTTTGGCATGCATGTAGAGTTATGTGGTTTAATAGTACAAGTATGAAGTGGATGGTTGTGCACAAACCAGTTAGACATAAGACGGCAAGATTGTTCTTTACAACCATTTTAATTACTTTTAATAATTTGCCATGTGTCAAAGGTCTTAAATGTCGCCAAAATGGGTAAGTATTTTTACCGTATTTCCACCATTTTTTTTTTAAAATAAATTTTTGTTTTCAAACGTCGGTTCAGACAAAATTCTAGACGTGTCCGAACTTTGGCTAATACTTTTCTGACATTTAACACTGTGAGATTCATTTTTATTTCTTGCAGTGGCATTGTTCGATGTTGTACCAATTTCAGGGAGGTGGGAGATACATGCCTTCGTAAGTAAATGAAATTTCCAAAAATTTCTAAAATCGCATTAAACTCCTCTAAATGAACCTTTCATATTTATTTCTTTTGTTAGTTTAGGGAAAGAGGGAAATTGACACTGTTGTATTGGAGGGGTGTAGAGTTTTTAAACAAAGACTTTTGAATCCGACACTATCATTCAATAATATTTTATTGTTTGTAAAATAAACCAATTCCGATGCGTATAATTTCAGGACGCCTCGACAGTTTCAAAGCATATTTGAGAGAGAGGTACATATGCTACAAGTGATACAATACAATTAAACATTATGTGGTGACACCCTGATATATATTTAATAGATTTCAATACTTCATGTCTTTAAGCAGAGAAAGGTGACAATTCTAGATGGCAGATCAAACTATTTTTAAAACAATTCTAACAAAGGTTAATACTTTCAGATTAAAAATAACGTCAGCGAATCGAAAAACTATAATTTCTCTCTCGAGTTTCCAAAGTATCACAATTATTTATATGTACATATGTCAAAACAAAATTTCACTATGATTCGAAAGAGTGCATGTAAATTAGAATGAGTACATTCTTGGATTTTAAATTAATAAATTGTGTTATTTACAGAATTTACATGATGTGGACTTAAGTATGGATACCCCTCCTCTATTTGTATTTAAAAAAAAAAAAAAAAAAAAAAAAAAAAAAAAAAGTGGCAATCCAGTCTAATTACTCAATATTTCGAACTACAATTAAGATCATTTTCATTTCTGTTACCGATAGAAAGATAAGAAAGATAAAATTTCAGAAGTAAAACCAAGTTATTATTCGATAATATAGTGGCAATCCAGTCTAATTACTCAATATTTCGAACTACAATTAAGATCATTTTCATTTCTGTTACCGATAGAAAGATAAGAAAGATAAAATTTCAGAAGTAAAACCAAGTTATTATTCGATAATATAAATGAAAATTGAGAACATTACAGTGCATCCGGGGATAGCCTGGAAAAAATTGCCATTTGAAAGCATTTCACCATGTACTTGATATTCTTACATGCATCAGGTGCATGTGATGGATTTCTTTGTACATTTGTCTGAAGATTTAATAAAAAAAGTACGGCAAGGAATGGTATTTTTGCCAATTATGCCTCTATAACATTCATTTATTATAGCTTGTATAGGATCCTTTGGTGTCAACTGTACCGGTGGTACTTGTGTGGAAGGATTCTATGGGTTTGGCTGTAGAGAGAAATGCAACTGTAGCATACATGAAGTTTGTGACCACAGAATAGGATGTCAAAAGAAAGCCTCCAGCACTAAAACAGGCAAGCTGATTCTATGGCTAAAAGTAATACGTAAATTGTTCTATTTTTCTATATTTTATCTTTCACAAACAAACTGATGACTATTGTAATATATTGCTCATATTCTGTAACAGAGACCTCAAGTAGTGTTGTGATAGTCACTATATGTGGAGTTATACTATGTTTCTTTATATTGTTGCTGGCAGTTGTCTTAAGAAGGTATTTATAAATTTTTCCCCTTAGAAATCTCAGTAATTGATTATGAAAAAGGATGTTAAGGTTTACGTAAAGTTAAGGTACTATTTGTTTTTAGCAAAATGTTGCTTAACTGCTTGAGCATCCATAGAACTCGTCAAAGGGAGAATACCAACGGTGCCGACACAAGATCTCAGAATTATGAATCAGCTGATAATCAGACATATGTTGACTGTGACCCAGTTTATGTGACTGGGGAGAATCAGGCATATGTTGATTGTGACCCAATTAGTGTGACTGAGGACAGATACCCAGAAAATCAATTGGAATACTCTAATCACAGTGAGGCAACTTCCGTGTTGGATGTGTCACCAGTACAGCTGCCCGTGTAGGCATATAGATGTCTGTAAAAAGAATTTGAAAAGAAGATAAAGAGGTAGAAATTAAATGTCAAAGAGAAATCGCTTATTGCAAAACACAGGTCACTTTTGTGGTATCTTTTTGTTGTTCACGGTCAAAAGAATTGCAATTGGAGAAGGATCCTATTATAGAGATGTTGAAAGCCATTAGAATAGTGCATCATCTATCTTGTAGAAATCTCCTTAGATTAATACAAAAACTGAAAAATCTGAAACTTTGTGATCCCTTTCTCGGAACCATATCTTCAACAAACCCTAATGTACGCACTTAGCATGCTTACTTTTTTATTCGATTGCTGTTCTGGAGAGAGTCTTTGAAGGAAATTGGGTATTTATGTATATTGTACTTCTCTCCGATGTATCAAACATCAATAGTGATGATGAGAACAACAACAAAGCGATCAATATGACATTCCTTTTTGAAAAATACATATTTATGGATTTGTTTTGCAGAAAAAGATATTGCTCGATATTATGAATTGAAAAATATATTTTTGGAATTCTTTGTGCAAATTTAGGTATGGCTGGTGTTGAATTAACCTTTCTAAAGTATATCTCAAGGTATATTGAGATAATTGTATATTTGTAATGCTGTGCTATGTCGAGTATGTGTACATGTATTATGTCGAAACAAACTAGGAAGAATAAAGAAAAAAACACAAAGAAAATATTTATTATAAAAATTATTTGTTGACACTTTATTTTGTTATAGATTAGTTGTTATAGAATATATTAACTTTATTCTTGCACTTTATACATATATTTGATACAATATCATTAAAATCAGATCAAAGGATCGGATTTCATTCAGATTGATATTTAATATCATTCAAAGTTGGAATAATAAATAATAAAACCTTTTTTTCCTCATTTCGAATAATAGTAAAAAAGGATGCTTAATGACCAAGGAAGTGAAAGGAATGAGAACTTTAAAACTTTACCTATAATAGTATAAATTTTTAAACTTCAATGAGATTTTGTGTTCATGTATTCCAGATTTTGGCACACTTCTTATGTAACTCTTCGTCATCGAGACATCGTATTGGGTACAACATGGCAAAATAATTAAAAATTGTGAAATTTTAAAATCATAAGAGTATATCATATCGAATGTATTATTTATCATGAGTAATTACAACAGGTTTAAGGATATAATTGATTTAAAAATGTAAATTTTATTTTTTGGAAAATGCTTTAAGATGTTTTGGGCATGTTCAAAAGTGTGAAGAGAAGAAGAGAATACACTGCACATAACCGAAATGCTTTCTTATTATAGAAGGAAGGCAATTTTAAACTGTATCTGTGGACAAGAATGATCGAACAGTGTAGAAAATATGAATGTGTGATGGACCAACACCTGTATTTCCTACAGATTTCCTACAAATATTCCGAAAATTATCCAAACTTTTCAATTATAAACAAATTCTACGGGGCCTAGATATTGACCATCTAAAACAAAATCCTCCGTGTGTTCTCGTCCTTCCCTCTTCGAATTATACTCCTGCTTAAAAAATTATTACTAGTGATCTGAAAGCAAGTATTTGAAAGGGTTTGAAATTCAGTTAGCCATAATCTTTCAAATAGCGACAGAATAAAGGATTAACTGATTCAACTCCTTACGCCGCGACTCTAGAGCAACGTTCTAACCACAGCGCCACGCAGAAGACTAACGGCAGTTTGTGAAAACGGTCACTAAAGAGCACTGGTTATAAGACCTGTTTCTCCCATTTAACAAACAGGGATATGTGTGTTTTGGTAAAACTAAACAATGCGCTGAGCAAGACGCCTATCCCATTTGTAAGTACCTTCCTGGTAATATATTTCGATGATCTGTCGAAATGAAATAAAAGAGAAGCTCAAAGAATAAGAATTTAATCGTAGGTATTTACAAACATACAATGTACCTGCATTTTAAGCCATCATAGGTATGAACCTGAATAATGGATTCTGGAAAAAAACGGCCGATCAGAATCGTCACAGGTGTTTTACAACATATTTTGGACAGGACAAATGAATAGATGCGCGGGATTGATGAAACATACTGTATGTGTACAAAAATTAACATTCAAAATTTAGCGCAATCACTTGGTATTGAGTGCTTGGCGTACCCTGGTGTTGTATTGAATTGTACTCTGGAATCATTTTATTTTGTTGGGGGTCAATGTTCGTGGGCAAGCAAAATTATACTCGTTCGTGGGGACGTAATTTCATGGGTTACTCGTTTATAGGGTAGATTCAATGAATGAATATGTTTATACAAAATAAACGTTCGTGAGGATGTAAATTCGTTGGTAAGAGTGACCCAGGAAGTCCACAAACATTGGTCCCTCACGAACAATGATGATTCCACAGTATTTTTTAATGATTTATTCATGAATTAGCGCATTGTTGTTCACGCCAAAGTCGCTAAAATATGAAACTTGCTTTTTTAAGAACACATACAGTAGTTGCTAATGGGATAACTTTGTTTTTCTTATTACCGCTATATGTTTCGTCACTCCCCTACAATGGTTCTAACATGTCAGTAAATACTTTTATGACGACACGATGTGCTACGTAAAATTGGTTTGTGATTGTTTCTTGTAGTGATAAAGTGCAGATAATTTGAAGAATTTTACTAGTATATAGAGTAAAGGGAGAAACATTCTTTTAAATTACCAGATTTTCTCCAACTCTTAATTCTTAATCTTTTTGTCTTTTTACAAAATCGGTAACAGGCTATGGAACCATTATTTCTAATATAAATTACTTGGGGGAGAATGCCAGACAGTGGGCAAACTATGAAAGGGAAATTCTCGACACATTTTTAGAACAGATAAAGACTTTTAGAAGTATATTAAAGAATTGTATGAAACGATAAAAAGGAAAATGTCTACCATCTATCTTTTCTTTTTCTCTAAGTGATAAAAGAGAAATTAAATGAATACAATACTCTGATAAACTTGTATCAATTTAGTCTTTGTAAGTATTGTTCATTTTTACAAATGCATTTTAGAAGATTTGGCTTTAATTCCACATAGAGTAATCCATTTTTTTCTCACAGTTTTCCAGCTAGGGATAAAATTCTTCAAAATCACAATTTAGTGTTTAATTCTTTTAACATTCCAGTCACAGGCTCTGAATTTGAATCCCCGTACATATAACCTATTCCAAAGATGTAATGTAGGGTCCAGTAAATATTTCCCTAAGCCCCCCTTTTTACTTCTAGCAAAAATGTTAATGTAATGAAGGAGAAACTTCAGAAATACTGTGCTAAAACATAATAAATAAGAGATGTAATCAAATGTGGATTTCCAAAAACTCTAAAGTTCAGAAAGATTTAAAATCACAGTATTGTCCATAGTCAATAACATTAAAACGTATTATGTTCTCTTTCGCTTTGCTCAGCCGAACATAAATTATTCCTATTCTTTTTACATAAATACAAACTCAAACACAAATATTGGAGGAGGCGACAATGTTAGCCAGATTTAATAAAACAGATTTGTACAAAAATAAACGCGTCCATTGGTGCATCTTTACAGGCCGGTTTGGAGGATAAAGCACATAGGCAAGCACGGGATTAGTCCTTAAAATGCAATGCAATAACAGGCTAGGAATCGGATCAACTTAAAAGAAACTAAACAGCAATCTACAAAAGAATTCTGCTTCATTATTATATCAAAGTATCGCGGCTAACTTGTCGAATGATAATAGAACTAAAAGCACGAGTTTAAATACCCTTAGACCGAATTACTACCTGCCGCAAAATAGACCCCAAAGTGATTTAAATTAAATTAGCATATAATAGATATGAAAAGAAAGTATCGGTAAGATAGACCGGATAGCCGAATCGATACACCCACCGCCCCTCGCACCAAATCAACCAGGTTCGACCCCCCAGATCACCAACCAATTATTATTATTTTTTTAGTGTAACCGAAAAGAAATTTATTTATGTTCTCTTTCGTTTCGCTCAGCCGAACATAAATTATTGCTATTCTTTTTACAGAAATAAAAACTCAAACACAAATATTGGAGGAGGCGACAATGTTAGCCAGATTCGAATAAAAAACGTCTGAGAAAAAATGTAAAGAAAAGATCATTTAATTACATCCTCACGAACGTTTATTTTGTATAAACATATTCATTCATTGAATCTACCCTATAAACGAGTAACCCATGAAATTACGTCCCCACGAACGAGTATAATTTTGCTTGCCCACGAACATTGACCCCCAACAAAATAAAATGATTCCAGAGTACAATTCAATACAACACAATTGTAATTCAAGGGTACGCCAAGCACTCAAATTTTTTGACACAAACAGAACCTTCTCTGTACTGTCCTTAACATAACCGTCCTTTGCTGTTTCACTTTTCCACCTTCCATGAGCCTTAAATTGTCCGTCAGGGATGTCTAAATTGGCTGTGGCTGTACCGCCTCCAGATCTAAGTGAATGTACACCGAACTTTGACGCATCCTCCCCAACATCTTGCAATGA